CTCTACATGCACCTGCGTGCGACCTCTCCCCTGTGCCCTTTATTCCTAGTCTACTTTGCTATTTCCTTCCCGCTGGAAGCTTACAGTTCTTAAAGCCTCTGCGTGCTGTCGAGCGCTTGCATGCATGTGTGTTTGTTTGCCCTCTGTGTGTTATTCTTGGCCTTGGTCTTCACCCTGCCTTGGGTGAGGAGAGTGGAGGGAAAGGATGCAAAGCTTGAGTGAGAAATGGAGGAGGGGCATGGCTTTCCCTCTGGGACACTGCTGTCTGCCAACCCACCAGGACACGGGACATTGAGGGTCCCCGTGCTTCTTCCCAAAGAGACAATGAAATGGCCCCAGGAGGGCCCCTGCCTTCCAGCCTCACCCTGAGCTTAGTCTTCTGTCTAGAAAAACACTCCTGCACTACCAGGACTCCATCCCTTCTTCCAGGATTGGAACAGAGACCACAACACAAAACGTAGTAAGAAGAAGCCGGTGGAATAAGATGTCACCAGCCTGTAAGCCCCTCCCCAAGCTTTTCATGGACATGTCAGTTCCCAGCCTTCTCATTGTTTTCCAATGGCACGAAGAGAGGTGGAGAGGCCTCTAGAGCCTCTCCATGCTGAGCTGCATCTTCATGATTCCAGCTCCCAAAGGAGAAGGTGCTCTGAAAGCTAAGCAGCCTGGGAGCCATGCCCTGTCCCAGGTGGGGCTTAGACCCACAGTGAGGCGCAGCACCACACCTGGACACAGGCCTCTGCTCTTATGGGAAGGCAGAGGAGGGAGTTCTCCCAAACAATCGTCTTCCAATAGATAAGGCAAAGTTTAGTAAGACCGTGAGAACCTGAAAAACCTCCAATTATTGTGGGTGGTATTTCTATGTATTTTATCATATACTTACCTATTGATTATATACATCATTAATATTATAGAGCCAGAAATCTAGCTCAGTGGTCGAGCATTTGCCTAGCATTCAATTCTTAACATTGCCCTGAGACAAAAAAGAAAGACAGAAAGAGAGAGAGAGAGAGAGAGAGAGAGAGAAATTGAACAATAATTAACGCCTAAACCTCAATAGTCTAAGTATTTTCGAGTACACATGTAACACTTGCAAGCCTAACTTGTTCCACAGCAGCAGTCCCTGGGAAGCATCTCTAAGCCTTGCTGACTTTAACAGTATAAGTCCTTAGTAAAACAGAACTGTGGCTCTCTGGGAGTTCTCATTCTGCAGCATTCCATCAGCCTGGGCTTTCACATAGAGAGGAAGGCTGTTCATCCCTCTGGGGCTCAGACCCAGTTACTCGTAGGATGGCTTTGTGGGAGTTAAAACAAGGTGTCAGTTCCTCAGTAAATTCATTTTTGTGTGGACTTCTTCATGGTGTCACATACTATTGCCACCTACCGGAAACCGTCAGAATAAAAGTCCTGTATCTATACGGTCTATAAAACAAACAGTGGTCCTCTATCGGTGTTCTACTTCCGTGTAACAAACAACTCTGAAATGGAGTGGCTTTGGTGAGGGTGAGCGTTTATTGTTTTACCTCCTCCCTGGGTCACAGCTTCAGAAGCAGCTCTGGTCTGTCTCTCAGGCAGCTGTGTGCAGTCAAAATGTCCCCTGGGGTGCCATAGAAGGTCTGATGGGTGACCGGAAGAGCCACTCTCAAACTGGGTCACTTGCACAGCTGAGTGCCAAGTTTGTCGCCAGGAAGCCTCAGCCCCTTGCCGTGTGGCCCTTTTTGTAGTGCTGCTTGAGCGGCCTCCCAACGTGGACTCCTTTTTCCTCAGGTGACCCAAGAAAGCAAAGCTGACACAGCAATGTCTTTCATGACCTCCTTCAGAGGTCAGTAGTCAGCCGAAACCTGCCCAAATCCTCTTGGAATAGTGCACTACAGTGAAAAACCTACACAGCGCTGAGAGGGACAGCGCTGAGAGGGACGGCGCTGAGAGGGACAGAGCTGAGAGGGACAGCGCTTAGTACATACGTGCCAGCAGGATGGTGAGCATTTAATGCTCTTTGTGCCCTAGTGCAGCTTAGGGGCTAGCAGGGATGCTCAGCCATGCTTAAACACATGACAGTACAGAGACAACTAAACTAATTGACAGAATCATCAAGGTGCTGAAGATCGAAGACTAGAGAGGGACCCAGTGCCTGATTTGAGGAATGGAGATGGGGTCACATGCGAGAGACATTGGAGTGCACGGGATATACCTGGGGCATTTAAGATGTCCAGTGTTCTGTCAGGAACAAATCATGAGCAAATGCTTGAGGTATGGATCTGGGCTTGGAGAGTTGGGGTGCAGGGAGTTCTTTGGAGCACAGTGGAGGGGAATATGGTGGTAGACCATGCCTGAAACCCCAGTACGTGGGACATGAAAGCTAGAGAATTGAAGGCCAATGTGGACCACAGGGAACTCTATTAAAAAAAAAAAAAAAAAGGCTAGGAAATCCTGATGAAGCCTCATCTCCCATTCCTTCCCTCTGTTGTCTTTCACTGGCAGAGCTTTGCCACAACTACCTGGAAGGGGCCACTGGGAAGAGCTGGGAAGCTGCCTGGAGAGCTAGCAAGGGGTCTTCCCAGGAGTAAGCGAGAAGCCCCTTCCCTAGGCTGCGAGGAAGGTAGAGATGCAGACAGGCCCGGGCACCTGAAGCTGCTGCAGCCTGCCCAGGCTCCCTAGAAGGCAGCAACACTCGCCCCCCCCCCCCCCCCCCCCAGCGTTTCCCTTCCCTCAGGTATCCCCGAGATCTCTGAATGCGACAGCAGACACTGCCCATGCTTGGTTACCTTTGGTATACGGCATAGGAGCATGCAGTTAAACAGACCCAGGGAAGCCGGGCTGCAGGGGCAGATCATAGCACCTCTCACTGGTGTGACTATCTCTGCATGCTCAGTGTACCTCATCCGTGACACAGTGGTTATGATGACAACCAGCGGAGAGCCAAGGCCCGAGAAAAGATGCTGAGCCTGCATCCTCATCGGAGAAACCCATTGTTAAGCTCTGGCCAGGTGGTCTGTTCTTGTCCTCCCTGGCCAGGTGGTCCATCCTTGTCTTGCCAGTCTCGTCAGGTCTTGAATATCTGAAGCAGGGAGCTGAGACCCTGGGACAGGTATCCTCAGTTCCCTTTGCTCTCATGCACAGACTGTCACACTGAACCTACCTCTACATGGTCAGAATTACACACAGCTCTGTTCTGACCCAGGCTCAGAGGGCTACCCCGCAGACTCCATTCAAACTGTCCACAAATCCACTCTGCTACAGTGGCCTTAAAAGGTACACCTGGTATTCAGCCACATAGACTGTCTTAGGCTGTTTTATATTTGCTTTTTATTCTATTATTTGCTTTTTCAAATTAAACCTCTTTTGAGATAGTTTCACACGTGCTTATAACAGAAAGTACAGAGAAATCAACTTGTACCCTACATGTGGGAAGCGCTACATTTTCAAAACCACAGCATGGCATTACATCCAAGATACTGATATTGCTTTGGATCAGACACAGAACACTTCCAGCACGCAAGACCCACCCCAACCTGTGCCCCTTTGCAGCCACATTTCCTCCCTCCCCTCTAAAACCAGCAGCACCCCCTACTTGCTGCTGGCAACCCTCAACCATTCTCTGCTTCTATGAAGTGGCAGTTTCAAGAATGCTGTATAGGAAGCATGTGTTTGGGAATTGGTTCTGTTCACTCATTACAAGTCTCTGAGGATCCATGCAAGTTGCTGAGTGTATCAGGCCATCAGAGTGTTCGTCTTCATTGCTGAGTAGGGCTCTAACAAACTGATGGTCTACAGGCTGCTCAGCCACCCACCTAATGAGGGAGGAGTGGCTGAGTGAGTTCCGTTCAGGGCCATGATGCAGACTCACTGTCAGTCTTCACTTCCCTGGGGTACATGTGCCATTGCTGGATCTGACTGTCACTGGACAGCTAGATTAAATAGGCTTGCGGGGTTCTGCTAGCTCTTTAAATACATTTGCAGTGTTCTGCATAGAGGGTGGACCATTCTACCTTCCCTAACAATGTGTGAGTTTGATCCCTGGAGTCACATAAAGTTATAAAGAGAGACAACATAGTTGTCCTCTGACCTCCACATAAATTCATTGGCATACACACCTATGCACACAAACACAAACACAACAACAATAACAATATAATTTTAAATTTAAAGCTGTATTTAAAATGCCTGACCTTCTACGAAAGCCTGCTTTGGACAGAGCACCTACATTAGCCTACAGCTAGCTAAGCCAAATCATTGAACACGAATCAACTTCATAATCAAAATACCAAATACCTCGTAGTTTGTTGAATCGCTGTCTTGAAAGGGGATAAGCAAATGGCTGCATGAGTACCCTTTATACTACCAAAACGTCAAAAGATCATTGTAAGTCAGGGGTCATCCATACCGTCAAGGAGCTGCAGATGCTGTCTCTTCCAGGGTTTAATGAGCTGTGAGGTTAACCAGCCAGACCTGAGAAGTAACTGACAGAGTACCTTCATCTATACTGACTTTAAATGTCTGCTTACAAGAGAAACAGCTTGTATAGACATATATGGGATGCTAGGGATTTTTTAAGGTTAAGAATTGCTGAGCTGCACAGTGAAGCCAGGAGCAAGACAGGAAAGAAACCGTATGCCACCACGCCTCTGTTCACTCACTGAAAGTCAGCCACAAAGTTGGGTGGAGGCTTTCTGGTAGCTTGTGCAAAAATATGAGACTGCTTCAGCTCCTGGGGATCTGTGAGCGTCTCTTAGCAGAAGCACGAACCACATGAGAGCAGGATGCCACTCCCGAGTCCATACTGACAAAGCAGAATTCTGCGAATCCAGCCTGTGAGAGGTCTGGGTGTCTTTCCCTGAGCAGCTGGTGCTCATGGCCTGGCAAGATGCCAATTCTAAGAGTCTTAGGGTGCAGAGAGAAACCCCAGCCCGAACTGGGTGGTGACCTACAGGTAAGTTTGGTCCAAGAGAGTCCCCAACCTTCTGTGCTCATTAACTGCTCTCCCTTTCTGTGTGTCCCTGCAGGGCTCTGGCTGAGAACATGGCCAATGACATTGATGAGCTCATAGGCATCCCTTTCCCTAACCACAGCAGCGAGGTGCTGTGCAGCCTCAACGAGCAGCGGCACGCGGGGCTGCTGTGCGACGTGCTGCTGGTGGTTCAGGAGCAGGAGTACCGGACCCACCGCTCCGTGCTGGCGGCCTGCAGCAAGTACTTCAAGAAGCTCTTCACGGCTGGTAGCCTGGCCAGCCAGCCCTATGTCTACGAGATCGACTTTGTCCAGCCTGAGGCTCTGGCTGCCATCCTGGAGTTCGCATATACCTCCACCCTCACCATCACCGCCTCCAACGTCAAGCACATCCTCAACGCCGCCAGGCTGCTGGAGATCCAGTGCATCGTGAATGTGTGCCTGGAGATCATGGAGCCCGGGGGCAACGGCGGCGAGGAGGACGACAAGGAGGACGACGACGATGATGAAGATGACGAGGAGGAGGAGGATGAGGAGGAGGAGGAAGAGGAGGAAGAGGAAGAAGAGGATGACACAGAGGACTTTGCTGACCAGGAGAACCTGCCTGACCCCCAGGACATCAACTGTCCCCAAAGCCCCTCCAAGACGGACCATCTCACAGAGAAGGCCTTTTCAGACACACCCAGGGACTTTCCTGACTCCTTTCAGCCTGGCAGCCCTGGCCACCTGGGAGTGATCCGAGACTTCTCCATTGAATCTCTGCTGAGGGAGAACTTGTACCCCAAAGCCAACATCCCTGACAGAAGGCCCTCCTTATCTCCATTCACCCCAGAATTCTTCCCACACCTCTGGCCAGGTGACTTTGGTGCCTTTGCCCAGCTGCCTGAGCAGCCCATGGACAGTGGGCCACTGGATCTAGTCATCAAGGACCGAAAAATCAAGGAGGAGGAGAAAGAGGAACTGGCCCCGCCCCCACCCCCTCCCTTCCCTAGCGACTTCTTCAAGGACATGTTTCCTGACCTGCCTGGGGGGCCACTGGGCCCCATCAAGGCGGAGAACGACTATGGTGCCTATCTCAACTTCCTGAGTGCCACCCACCTGGGGAGCCTCTTCCCAGCCTGGCCGCTGGTGGAGGAGCGCAAGCTGAAGCCCAAGGCCTCTCAGCAGTGCCCCATCTGCCACAAGGTCATCATGGGAGCTGGGAAGCTGCCTCGGCACATGAGGACGCACACCGGGGAGAAGCCGTACATGTGCAGCATCTGCGAGGTCCGCTTCACCAGGTGCGCAGTTTCAGGAGAAAGCTGGGGGCCGGGGGGGGGGGGTAGGGCTGGAGGCCGGGGCTGGAAGCAGAGAGGAACGTGGAGGGCAAGGGATGGAGAGAGATCGCACATTGAGCTCACCGATTGGAGAGATGCTAAGCATTTCCTGGGGCAATGATGTCAGCCCCTTTTAGGAACTAAGCTGCTTTCTCAAATGCAATGGTAGGGTGAAACCCAAAACATAAAAACAGGGCAGGACAGGCTATGTTGGGGAGAAGAGCAGAGGAGCCAGGCAGGTCCCACGGAGGGTAGGCTCTGTGTGTGCTTGGAGCCAGTGTTTCCCAGACACTGCCCATGGCTAGCTGTGTGCTCCTGTGAGCAGCTGGACAATCACAGAGACGAGACTGGAATCCCAGTTCTTCTGTGACAATAAAGTCTACGACTAGGATACTTCAGAGACTCCTGGAGGCACTTTCCATCCCCCTGGCAGGTTGGGCCTCTTATCACTTTCTTCTCCACATTGCCAGGAGGGTAACTTGGGATCTGAAATGAGCACATCAGGGAATTGTCATCTTTCAGAGACATCCTTCTATTCAACAAAAGCGTGCTATGCACCTTCTTTGTGCCAGGGGATACGGGGTCACAACTATTTATTCATACTAGGTTTCAAAGACTTCCCTTTGGTGAGAGAGAGAGAGAGAGAGAGAGAGAGAGAGAGAGAGAGAGAGAGAGA